AACAGAACATACTGCAATGAAGTGATGGAGATATAAAGGAAGGAAAAATTGTTATCCCTAACCAATCTTCCTCTGCATATGCCTAGCCTTGGGCGTGTACCAGAAAGAGTATTGAACTCCCAAGTGGTGGGAAAAAGGTGCATTCCTCCCTCTGCACATGCTCATGAAGTAAGACAGCAGGGAGATATCAACTAGACCCTCCAGAAATTAAGAGCAGTCAAAAAAGGAACTTCTGCATATCCTAAGAATATCCAGCAGTGCTGATTGTGCTTTCTCTGCTGTGATTGCTCCCATCTTTGCCATTCCCCTTCATTTCTCTCTCTACTTCCTACCTTTGTTCTTTTTCCTTAGCCTTTCTCAACACTGTATCACATTTAAATCCCTCTTCATAAAGATCTTTCCATATCCCCCTGAAATTAGATTCATTACCACCCTGTTGTCCAGCTTGTGCTCATACTACTTCCCCATAATCTAAATATTACCAGGTTACATACTCTGTACTACCTGGCATGTGTTAATACTCATCTGGATAGTGCTTCATTACTACTAGGTCCTTAGTCATTACTATAATAAACATATCAGTACAATAAGTGATCACTGTAATTGTGTAAACATCATAAATGCTCACTGCAACTGTAAAAACACTTTTAACGCAGTATAGAGGTAGCCTCACAAGGCACTTGCATAATTCAAATCACATCCTTTTTTCTTTTCTGATTTAAATTGGTGCAAAAAGGATGTTGACAATCCCAAAAAAACACTTCAACATTATCTTATACCGTAAATCTTATTCCTGGATGACTGTAAACAGATTGGAAGGAGCAGGAAATGTAGTTCTGTAGCATTTAATTCTGCTGATTATCCTGTTTTTCTACCATCAACAGGACATATAGTACTGATGTGGCTAAAAACTACAACTCATCATCTTTATTTAACTAGTCCAAATGATGACATTTGTGATTAGGTTGACTATGGTTGTCTAAAGACAGTCTCCCCGGCTTCATAGCAAATCACTATTCTTACCTGTTCTGCATCATGTCCATGTGGTCTAACTTACTGAGCAAATAGCACTAAGAGAGTCTTCTCAAATTTAACATTCATTAAGAACTTTCCCAGACACAGAGTTTCCAGTGGCTAATATATTTATTAAATAATCTGAAAACACAGAAGTTCTGTAGGAAATATTATGTTAACCAAGTAGGACTTATTCTCTGCCAAATACTAAAGAACAGGTTCCATGTATGGACAAAGAATTGATTGACAGAGTAGTACCTAAGCATGGTTTTGACCAGCAGGTTGGAAGATAGAATCACAGATAGCTGCCAGAATTCATATACTGTAAGAATAAGAAATGCTGAACTCACCAGAGATATACAAATTTATACATTTAGCACTTACACAATTTTCCTGGAATACTAAAGTAGCCACAAATCCTGTAAAAGTGCTGAGCAAGAAAGTGAGTAGACCAATAGATTCAACACAATGTCAATACTAATACAGGCCAACAGCAATATGAATACAGTCTGATGGAGACATGACACGGCAGAGAGGACACAGGATCCAAGCCATTATTTCCATTCAGAATCTACCCAGGTGGTTCAGTAACAATATTCTGCTGGTAGAACATACAAAGCTCTTCACTCAGCATTTTAAACTGTGCATGTAAGTAAGTTGTATACAAATATGTATGAGAAAAAACTGCTAGAATATTTATAGCTTTCATTCCTCACCTGTGCTTTTAAAATTCCTACATCATAAGCTTGGCAGAAAGTAAATTAGTCACCATTAGTACCAAAAAAATGATACTTCTGCACTTCTAATATAAATATTTTTATGTATTAAAAAAAAAAAAAAAAGACAAATATAATTTATCTAAGAGTGTAGTTGTATTAGTCCTTCAAAAACAAGTCTGTTCCATTGTATCTTTTTATTACAATTGTCCCTTTGGATTACAGTCTGTAAGAGTTAATAAGGTAGCAGCTTTTGCTTAGCCAGTTCAGACTGACAATGATACTAGTAAATCAAATTTTAAAAAAACAGGGCATCTTTTCTTGTGTAATCAAGACTTCTCCATGTGCTACTTAAAGCTAGATGAGCAGCTTAGGAGCAATCCACTGCAGTCAGAAGCAGGTTTGTCCTCAGCATAACTGGGGTAGTAATGTTGTCCACTTGTCAGACAAGAAATAGAAGAACACATTTGTCTTTTACCTTATAACAGCTAGATCTCGCAGTCTGGACATTGCTGAGAGTTTTAGCATGCAAGGACAACTGGGTTTTATTTGCTTATTCATTCACTATAGGCTTTCAAGTGGTATACACACTTCTCTGAGCACATTAACTATGTCTATAAGCTATTAAAGACTGGGATCACATTGATTCTTCTGGAAATTACATTTGGCATAAGATGGGCCTCATCAAAAGGGAAACCAATCAAGAGAGACATTCACCGTGCTCTGAGTGAAGTAATCTGTCTTCTTATGAGATGACCAAGCTGTTACAGAGCTAGGCAGCCTCCATAAATAGATGGGAGACTGCATACGGGAATAAAGGCTTGCTGTGCAGACCTCACATTCATGACCTCAGCTGACTGATCTCCAGTCTACAAAAATCATGTTACATGGTGATTATACATCCTCAGAGGAAAATTGAATATTTGAAAAGAAAGCAGTTTACCAAACCTCTCCGCTCCTTCTCCCAGGAATTTATAACAATACAATCCAAACTTGTATGTAACATGACTTAATGGCATCAGCTCAAAACAAGACAAAATCCAATATAGAAATAAATAACCATGAAAAGCATCCCCAGTCAAGAATCTCAAATCCAATGATGAATAGAAAGTCTACAAATACAAGAGCTGTTTCAGTGGTTTTGAGGTGACAGCTCTTATTCTTACAGTTCATATAGAGCAGGAAGTTTTCACTGGAGCCTGAAACATAGATTCATGTTGCAGATAAGGTGTGGACCTCAGCACAATCCACGCTGGCTCTGCAGTATGCCAGCACGGGCATTTTTGCATTGTGCTGCTAAAACTGGAGTTGAGGATGCAGCAGGAGCAGCCCCTTCAGCCAAGAGCAGCTGGACCCAGCGATACAGGGAATATTGCCAGTTTTCTGCAGTACAGCTCAGACACAGTGTCTGAGAACCGCAGCCCCAGGCTGTAATGAAAGTAATATTTAGAGTGGAATAATATTTCAGAAGTCTCAGATGCATGGTTCTTTGACCACGCTTTTATTTTCAAAAGGCAGTGGTGAGCACAAGTGGTACAGATCCAGGAAGGAAAAAGTACAAGGATCCCAAGCTATGAGGAAGACAAAGATGATTGTTCTACAGGCATTGCTTCAGTAAATAAATCTATAATATAATACCATGTGGCAATTACTCCTGGGCTGCTACATCTAAAAATACTCAGCATCATCAAGGCTTTCTGCTGAACAACCCAAAACCCACCTACCTACGCAGCATAGAATGGAAAAGTTTGGTATTTCACTCCTGTTGCTTTGTATTCAAAGTTATTTACTCACTAATAACGCAGACATGTCAATTATGTGGTTCTCTAAAACTGTTGTATCAAAAGGTTTGATCTCTGGGGTGGATCTGTGCAGCTCCATCAAAGGTCATGAAATCACACCAGCTGAAGATGTGCCCTACACTGAAACCACTGACTGTAAGTAAAGCCTAAAAATGGAGTAACTTTATGCTAACGAGGCAATTAGCCCAGTCCAGCCCTGCTTCAGTTGGTAACAATTACAATCTCACTTCAGAAGCCAGGTGGATTTTATCCACAGCACGTGTGACTTCACACAGCCTTCCACAGATAATGGCTGAGATTATTTGAGTATAAAGAACAATATAAGGGCAACTGCTACAATCTAATACAACTGGATGATGATAGGGCACCATGTTCAGCAAAATTTATGTCTTACAGGGAATAGGAAAGTTGTTTAAGCAATCTATTATCATGTAGGTCTCAAAAGATTCATTTAAACTGCAGAAGACAGGAATTTGCATTTTATACGCAAACTGGACTTGTATCCTCTTTCTGTCTACACTATTTAACGCATCATTTAATACATATTCTCGTGTCAGTGAATGAGGAGAGCAAACATGACAGCTGACCAGGTATGCACTGGATTTTTATTAATTTTATCTTAGCTTCCCAGACTTATCAAAAAGGTATAAGTATCTCAAATATTTGATATTTTGTAACCTTTACATAATACTGTTACTCCCATGAATCACTCTGAGTGCTATATACACATAACCAATGAAAACCTACAGCAAAGGAAATTAAGATAAAGTATTTATGAAGGCCACCACATAAAACTTAACCTGCACCTGAGAAAAAAAAACTAAATTCTTTTAAAAACAAAACTCCAAAATACCGTCCAAAATTTATTCTGTCATTTGTTCCCAAATACAAACCTCAAATGACAGAATATGCAGAGCTTGTTTTGTACATAGCTTTTGCCCGTTAACAACTCTACTCCAGACTAAGTAGCACTGGGACCATGCTCGCTCCCAGTTCTGCAGCATGCACTCTACCAGTACATAGTCCAGTACATTTTTAAATGTGCCTATGTCTCTATTTATATCCTTCAAGAACAGAGAGAACATGACACATTTTCAGTGTTTGAAGAACAAAGCCTAAACTTTCTACTGAGAGGATATTTCTCATAAAAGATGCCCTGATCCTTGTCTTATAAAAAGGTTTTATTTCTCAATAGAAAAGTATGTTTAAAACCACAATTATTTGCTAAAAGCAATATAAAAGTCTCCGGTTTTAACTTCATAAAAGTTTAACAAAACATAAATACTGTTTACCGCTTACATTCCTATGTACAGACCTTGCATTAAATAGTTAAATAGGTAGAGATAATAACTCAAAAATTAATGGCACAGAACTACTGAGATTCAAACTCCATATCGCACTGCACAATCACAGGAACAGAAGAGCAGCTTAAAATCCTCAGTCACCGGGTTCTTTGTTCTCTTTACAGCTATGTTCCTCTTTTCTCTGCAATAATGCACCAGTTTCCATGGTCATAGCAGGAAGAAAGTATCTGAAGCTCAGGTATGTTCTCTTCTACCAGAGAGCACAGCTCCCCTTCTCGAAAAACATGATAATAACGCATGAAGGCTTTTGTATCCAACATGGCATCAGTTTGGTCCCCAACAGACACTGCTGAATCCAAAGCAGAGTCAGTGGAGTCAGTTGTTGAAGTTCTTTTGAAAAATTTGCTGGCATTAGACTTACCAGCACCATCTTTGTTACAACCGCAGCTGTAGTCCCTGTCTTCCACTGGGCCATTCACAAATGAAGCTTCTTCAGTCTTGCTCTGCCCTACGCTTTGGTGTCCTCCATTTAAACTTAAATGCTTCAGTGCATCTGTGGCTGGTGACCACTGTGGTTTTTTGAGAGGCAGGCTTTCCATGAACACATCATCATCATCTAAACTTTGGTCTTTTAACAGTGCCCCATGGTGACCTAAATCCAAACTGCAGTGTCGTGAATGCTGAACGGGTACAGCACTGTTTGCCCATTCTCCTTCATTCTTCAGAGGCTTCATTTTGTCAGTTTGCTTTCTCAGGGCTGATTCATCAAGGGATCTGGAGAAAAACCATGAGCGGAAAGATTTTCCTAGAGCACTGTAAAATCTGTTTTCTTCAGAAATTTTCATGCAGCAGGCTCTAGATAAACAATGGTCCGTATTGTGGGAATGTTTTGAATCAGTTTCTGGCTGCAGGTTGGTTTGGTAGCTGCAATCAGAGATGACTAGCTGAGCAGGGTGTATGTCTTGGCTTTTTACACCATGTGCAAACTCACCCTTATCTCCAGATTGAGTCGATTCTGAAAAATGCCGTGAGCACAAGGCCTTGTTCCAAGGAACAAATACGTCTTGTTTCTCAAAGCGACGGTTCTTTTGTTCCATAGCCCACACGTAAATCATCATCTGGCCTCCGGGTATCAATACCCTTGCCATTTCCTTTACTGCTTTGACTCTTCTTTGTTTAGTTGAGAAATGATGGATCACTGTGAAAAAAAAAAAGGCATTACGTCTTGAATATTAGTAAGGACATAGCATTTTCCTCTTCTACCTGTTCTACGCTTTTAGTCATTTTCATTGCCATATCCCAAATATCACTCACTGCAAGTCAGAACAGTGCTGAATTTATTAGTACTACAGTGCAAGTTTACCCCAGAATGCTCTCTTTTACATTTATGTTCAATGGATAAAAATAGGAAAATCCCAAAGTAGGAAATTCATCTCATCTCAACATATGGATTCAAGAAAAGTCAGGCATATAAGCTAGAGGTTTCTGTTTATCTGCATCACCAATAAAAGATCATAGCATGACTAGCTTTCACTTAAATGCCTGGCCTTTACATGTTAAGTTTGATTTCAGTTTTTGGGACACCTTTCAGCATTATCTTACTGAAAACAGAAAATCTTTTCACCGTGTGAGACATAATATCAGTAAAAAGATACCCTGTATTTTTATATCAGTGCACTTTCAAGAGAGCTAGTGAGAAAATTTAGACAGAAATATTTTCCATTGCTTTGATTTTGCAGAAAGGCATTGCCTTTATAGATGGTTTTGGAGAAAAAAAAGAGAAGTACCTCAGTCTACATTGCATGTCTGAGAATGATGATTTTTTGTTACTTATGTTATGCTATTAAAAAATAAAAAGTCAAATTCATAATAAATCTATTGATCACTATATTTGAATTTTCTTTTCAGGATAATTTCCACATTTTGAAATTTCACTGCAATGTGAAATGAAGCTACATTTCAAGATTTCTACACTGTTTCTATCTTCCTGTTCACCGGAAGGAACCAATTTTAACAGCCAGAGAATAGCTAAGACACCTATTTTGTCTCTAAACTCTCAGAAACATTAACTTGTACTGAGATTGGTCATGTTGGTCATGTTGTTCTATATGTCATCAGTACTAGAATTGATTCAATCAATGACGTAAAGAGGACTGATTCCATAATTTGTTTCAAGTGGACTTGGAGCTAGCCACTTCTACGTGCAAAACACTCATATAACAACATATAATCTCCATACCGTCAGAAAAATTAGATTATCTTTACATGTGCTGCTTGACAGTAGCCAATTCTACTTGTAGAAATAGTGTTATTTCAACACTGCAGTTATGAAAAGGGTGTCCAACTAGCCCTGCCTTTATTCAAAACAATGATTAAATTACCAAATATGTAGCTTTTTTACCACAAGCCAAGAAAAGCATTCTTGACAGTTGATACTAGCTAGGCCCTCACAAGCAGCTGGGAACTCAAGGTATCAAACTCCGAGAAGAGTTCCCCAGACTACATGATCAGTGTTTGATTCCAGGCACTCCTGACTCCTGTCAACATTTTCTCAAACTTCGCCAAAAAAAGTATAAAATACTATTTTGATTTCTGGAACAAGATGGGGAGAAAGGAACTGATATTTTCTCTCATACTGGAGTTAGACCATGTACCACCACAGAACCTCCTGCAAAATAATATCGAAACTAAGCATGTGCGCTTCGTTTACCGGCAGGAAGTGCCAATCTACCAACAGAATCTGTGCAAGCTCTATCTAAGCAATTCAATTAATGGTTCAAATATTATTCATGGTTAAAATTATATAATCACACTGGTGGATCTGCAGAAATATAAAACCTACAAACAGGATTATACCAGCAAATCCAAGAAGTATTTGACTATGTACATAAATACTTGCTATTCTCTGGAACGGGATGAAAAACACTTTCTTTAGAATGAGATGGACACAAGCATAGCATTGTCCCTATTCATCAGTGATTAAAATCCATTATTGTTAAATGTACAGAAACACCACGTGAACTTTCAATATTGTCAGGCCTATAATTGGTATAATTAGATAGGTACACTATCCTTCAAAGTCAGCTGAGCTGATAGCACTAAAACTATGCTACAAGACCTGAAAGGTGGATAGGGCTCACTGGTTAACTAGCCAACATGAAAGCACAGTAATATAGATACTACTTGCATATTAGTCACTCTTTCTTTCACCCTGCATATGTGAAAAACACATTTTAAAATACATTTATATCATATTTCAAGTAGTTTGTTGATTGCTATCAATAATAATTATTGTGCTTTATATTTTTGCTGATACAGTGAAACAGCCTGGAAGAAGTTCAAGAAAGGAGTAGAGCTAAAAATGTAGACTGTAACTGGGTACTCTAACTATTCCTCACTGATGCTTTTGCAGTTTATACTTCTCAAATTATGAGTAATATTTTCAAAAAGAGACATCAAAGGAGTGAAGATGCTGAGATGCTTCACACATTTCAGACAACAGGCACTTGTATGGCTCTCAGTTCTTATTTCATGACTATTCTAAGAGAAATTTGAATTCCTAATACATAATAATTAATATGGGTTTCAAGTTCTGCTATAGAGAAAGCAAGTTTTCATTTCAATGCATTGCTGGTCAAAACAGATCCTAAGAAGGAACCAAGACTTTATCTTGACTACCTAATCTGCTTAAACTGCAAGCAGCTATGTTTATATTAGTTTTTACTTGTTTAAAATGCATACTGGAAGGAAATCTTTTCTCCATAGGGTGAACAAGACCACATATAAACAATCAAATGATCCACATTCTTCCCTGGTCCACAGTGCCTCTGTGCAATGGAACTAATCTTTTTTTTTTTTTTTTCGTGCTTACTACATTCATTTCAGTAATATCTGCTGTGACTCTAAGGGACTTGTTTCAAAATGAATTTAACTGAAACGAAGACACATGGGAAGAAAAGGATGCCCAAAAATTCTCATTTGCTGTGGGCCAGAATGCAGGTGTGTTGTCTTACCTCCAATGGAAATGACTGCATTGAAGCACTGGTCCCTAAAGGGAAGGTTAAGGTTGTCACATACCAGAACTTCATCATCTTTCTTCCTTGCAATCTCTACCAATGGTCCGCAGTAATCACAGCCAAGATTATACACCTGACTGTTGACACTGAGATACTTTCCAGTTCCACAACCTAAAGAAAAGAATACTAGATGAGAAGTTGTATGTTCCAAACACTTGCTATCCCTCCCAAAGCAGTGAAAATTATGGGAGGGCTTTCTTAATTCTAAGGTTTCCTGGAAAACAAAGTGAGGGCTTGCACCTACTACCCTAAGTGCTGCACGGTTTGTTTGGCCTGTTTGAAATTATATGTTCACACCATTAGGATTGTAACAGTACCAACATCACCAACAAAAATACTCATTACACAGCCCTGCATAATAGCAGGTTATGAGTATTTCTTTGGGGAATAAGGCAAGTGCAGGTGGGAGGAGGAAGGAGTGGTCCTCCGCAGCCACTCTTCATATCTTAGAGCAAAAAACCAACCGTGCTGCTTCATAGTGAGCCTTTATATAGCCTGGCATCCTGTTTCCAACATTGAGTGTAAATGGGTGCCCAGGAAAGAGTAAGAACAGGGTAAGCATTATCACTCTTCTCCTCAATACCCTTCTAGCTTCCAGGTACTTTCTGTTCAGGGGATTTCCTGAAGCCAGTGCATTTTGTCTTTTTAGTGACCTGCAACAGATTTCTCTTCCAAGTCCTTCCCCAGTCTTTGCTAAACCCCACGCAGTGCATCCCATTGCTCTCCAAGAAGTCCTAAGCCACAGCTATCACTGACACCTGTCAGAGAGGAAAAATTTTAACTTCAGATACGGACTTGAAAATAACTGTGAATCATAAAAATTCCTGCCACGTCGCATGCATGTCCTGTTTCTGTCTTTGTGCCAATGCATTATAACACATGTAAATGTAATGAACTGCTCCAGAATGTCTTCCACCTAAAAGTATGTCTTCTCAAGGACTGTGATGTACTAAATTGAAATCTTTCAGAGTGTTCTTCAATACCATGTGCATAACAGGCAATTTTCAAAATTAGATTAGGAAACATTCACTGCAGTTATGGGTCAGTAGTGAAGAATAATTTCTGAAAGTTGACAGCCAAGCAACGGGGCAGCAGCTTGGCAATGAGAACCATCTCAGTATTGGTAATTCAATTTAAAGGCCTGGAGTTATCTTTAGAAACATCACTGTTTCTTGCAGCACTGCTGCTCTCGATGTTAATGTGCACCATTATCTAGAGAGACAGCACAGGAACTGTTGGAGAACAGCACAACACTTCAGTGGTGGAAAAAGAACATATTTCTAAAGCAAAAAAAGCAAGTGCTATTCTTTGAAGTAACACTTGAAAGAAATGGAAAGTATTAATACTGTTAATGCCGTTCAAGGAATATATGCAATAAAACATGAAGCTCTGAATGTTAGAAAGCATGTTTTAAAATAAGTATAAAGTATTATTGGTTACTGTGTTTGCAGAAGGAACACATTTAGTCAAATGTATATTATTTTAGAAGATTCAGTTGCTTAATACATGGCTTTTGGTGGAGTTCTTTTTAATCACAGTGAGTTTCTGGAAGTATAGCGTCCTCTCTGGAATGAAGCTAAATAGTGAGAGCACTCCCAGTACTCTAAAAATCTACATTTGCAAGAGGTGCACTTTTAAAAGAGTCATCAGGAGGGTGGATTCCTTCATGAAGCTGTTAACAATGGCCATGCGATTGTCATCTATTTTGATGAACGAATAATAATATGGCAATTAGACAAAATGATATTTTAATAAAGGTGGCATTAAATAGAAAAGGAAATTATCAATTGAAGATCTCATTTTGAAAATTTTAGTGCCACTAGGCAACCCTCCTCCCAAAATAAATACCAAAAATAAACACAATAGTCAGATTCCTGTGGATCTTATTAAACCTCATAAAAGGAGGCACCTTGTGTGCCTTGATGGGAATATTCTTATTGGCTACTGTAAGGATCTACCTTCTCTCCAGACATATCACATGCATTTAAATTATTGTAACAGGGTGATCTTAAGCTTTCAGCAACCACTGTGATACCTGCTGATAAAGCCTCAGAGAACTTCAGCTAAGCTTCAAATGACTTCTACTAAGGTGACAAAAAATTTTGGCTGAGAAATATCGTGTTAAGCTGTCTGTTGAATGAATGTATGCCATAGGATATTTCCTGAGATCATTAGTGAAAAAGGTGCAGACATATAAAAGAAGTTACATATTCAAAA